TCGACAATGCCCTGCAAGAGAAAGTGCACAACTTCCTCAAGAAACTGCAATAAGCATTGGAATGAGCATCTCCTGCAGATTTCCAAACACTAAGGGATTGAAACCCTGTGAATACCTGTGAACATTCGTCCTGTGTGAATATATCCACAAATGAACGTTCTTTCATTTACCTTTTACAAGTGTAATTAAATGTGAATTTTCTGATTGAAGTACTTCATTATGGCCACTAGGTGGAGCTGAGGAGCATAGAACCTAAATACTAATTTCCTAAGCCCCTTTAGGTGCCATCTAGTGGCCATAAGGCAAGATTTCACTTTGGAGCCCAAACTTTTGACTTTAGTTTTGGATGTAGTGAGTAAGCGTTAAAACTGCTTTCAGGCAGTGGCGTCACAAGGGGGGTGCGGGGGTTGTGGCCTGCACCTGGGTAACACCATTGGAGGGGTGACACCTAAATGATTGACAGTCACTTTGGTGTCACCCCCTCTAAAAAGTCTGCCGGCATCCATCACAAAGAAGGCTGCTGGCAGCCGTCAATTAGATGACCACGCATGTGCGATGACGTCACTGCGGGATGTTACCCGATCTCCGCTCTGAGTGTCACCTGGCCTCGGGACGCCCCTGCTTTCAGGATATTTGTGCTGGTGACATCAGCCTGAGACCTTGCTGAGACAGTGTGTCAGACTCCATCGCCCCTTTAAAAGGAAGCTGCGGTGCATCACTTCTCAGAGGGCAGCAGAGCAGCAGCTTTCCAGTGTTCAGGAGGTGATACTGTCGCCTCTTGAGTGGGTTCTTTTAATTTATCCCAATGTGGATTTTGTATTTGCAATACTACGCCGCAACTGTTTGAGCATGTTGATTGCAATGCTCGCGTTTGGCAAGCAGCACCGCCTGGCAAACACAACATGCTGTTTAAAATTTGCCATGGCATGGCTACCCACACACTGCAAGGGTTACTTGCTTGTTTTTGTCTACATGCTAAAAAAGTTATACTCACCCGAACTGTTCTTAGACTGGTCCTTCCAGCCTCTCTCCCCCTCCTCTGCACCGATCTAAGGTCCCGTAAATCATCACGTTCTATACACTGTGTATAGATGTGAGGATGAAGAGGAATATTCCAATGCTGCAGCGTAGGACACACATTTCAGTCACCGGAGGCTCGGTGCTTTGGGTGAGTATAACTTTTTTAAGCACCTGGACAAAACCAGGAATTTAGCATCAAACAGAAAACATATAGATCATAGAGAAGAAAACATACTGTATATGCAGATATAACTTCCCCTGTATCACAAATATGCGCATAGACAAATAGCATACAGACTAGCTTTGCACCACAGCGCCATCTAGTGCTCAAAAGACAATACTACATCTCTGAAAGTCAGCAACACATATCAGTAGGCTGTTGCATCTCCAACAGGGGGAGGGGGTGAATTAATTGCCTGTTTTTACTGCCCCTCGGCTGCCCATGTGAACAAGGCCTTTCATTATAACTGTGATTATAACTGAGTGAACAAAAAAAACAAACTAATATTGATTTTGCCCTTACTAGCACACACCACAGCTTTACCACTCTTACTGTAAAATATATATATTTTTTAATAAATAAATGACTAATTCTCTTGGTAGCTTATATTTTATTTAAGTAGAAAAAAAACAGACAACAGCAATGATCAATCAATTTAATAAAAACTCCAACTTTATTGTTATAAAATTATTAAATTACCGACTTTGTACTGTAATAAATAAAACTGTGCTTTTTACCTATTTTTTTTTAATTAAACATTCTGTGAACAAGTGTCTGAATGTGTCTGTAAATAGACATTTTCCTTATAATGCATTGAAGGATATTACCAAATGTGCTTGATCTGCAAAAAAAACCCATCACTTTCACTGCTCTATAAACATTTATAAAAAATCTGCTGATCATCTTATGAATCTGTATATACATTTGTTCCCTTTAGCCAAACTGAATGTTATTAGGATATTTTCTCTCTAATCAAATGTAAATAATTCAAATGTATATAATTCAAAGAATAAAGTGAATCAAGAAAATACCCCAATATGGCCACTAGATGGGGATGAGCATCGTAGTTAACTTTCCTATGGTCCTCATCTCCATCTAGTGGCCATATTGGGGTATTTTCCTGATTCCCTTTATAAATACACTCCCAAGTTTTAGGTTACAATTGACAGTCAGGCATCTCATCAGAAAATATGAGGATGAGACTTCTGGCCATCCTTTAGGGGAAGTATTGTGTTCTTTCAGTAAGCATGTGTTGTAAGTTATTATTAGGGATGCACGGATACTGATTGGTATCGATGACAATGCCGAGTATTTGGGTGAGGACTCGTACTCACCCAAATGCTCTCGATGCTTGTCCTGATACCGGAACTTCCGGTATCAGTGAGCCAGGCGACAAGTCATTACACGCCGCCCCCTGGCTTCCTGATTGGTCAGGATGCAGGCTCCATGCCCCCTCGTCAGCTCCATGCTCCCTCGTCTGGCTTCCCGGTCGATCAGGAAGCCAATTCCCAGCCAATCAGGAAGCCGAGTGGCGGGTAATGACATTACACGCCCCTGGCGTCCTGATTGGCCAGGAAGCTGGTTCCATGTTCCCTCTTTACTTGGTGAAGAGGGAGCATGGGGCTGGCTTCCCGGCTAATCAGGAAGCTGGGCGGCGTGTAATGTCTCGCCGCCCGGCTTCCTGATTGGTCGGGAAGATAGCAAATCACGAAGCAGGGCGGCGAGTCATTACCCAGATTAGCCAGAAAGCCGCCTCCATGCTTACTTGTCACCTGGTGCCCGTTTCCTTAATGGGACTTTCGATATCGGTATTCGGTATCGGCGAGTACCAAAATAAAAAATATCGGTACTCGTACTTGATACTGAAAAACCGGTATTGGTGCAACCCTAGTGGATAGGAATAGTCCATGAGGCACTGTACTCACAGGATGTCCTGGGTTTCATATCGCCTAAAAGACTGAGGACATCTAGTGGCAGACGAAATTACTGCATAGGAAAGTGTTGAAGAGTTGGTGACCAGTCCAAGTTTTATTTTGTTGATTTCTCAGACCCTTTGTCGGCGAAAGGCTAACAGAGGTCCCCCCACTCTAAAAATTGGGGGGTAACCCTTCATGCTAAAGAGGACTTCTTTGCAGGCTAGGTGTTAAATTCTAAGACTTACGATTTAAACGGGGCCCAGGTTTAGTCTGGCCTTGGAATGGGAGGTCTGGGAGAAATTAAAGGAACTCTTCTTGAACTCAGAAGTAAAAGGAGTCTTCTCAGGTGGAGGTCTAGGTGTCTTTTGCTTTGGAAAATGGGTACTCTTACTGCCAGGGATGAGGAGTTTGCCCTCAAAAGGCAGGCAAAGCCAACATGTCTTAGAGGCCTGTTCAGCAGACCAATATTGTAGACAAAGATTCCTTCACACATTAGCAGAGATGACACTTATCATTGCAACCAGATTAGCAATATCAACTGAGCCATCCACACAATAGTGTGATATCTTATATATACATATATGACAGTATACCTAGTGGAACATTCGACTCTATTTATTCTATAGGTGGCTCAAGGACAGATATGGGAGCCTGCCATTTCCGCTTCCCCTTGGCATCTCCGTACCTTGTGTTCCTGCCTGAGTGGAGGGGCTTCCCCAGATGCGAGTCTTTCTCACCATCATCATATATCCTATTCATGGTATTTATTTATGTATTTATTGATCTATATTAATTAATTGTCATTAATGGTTAATGGTTATGTCCAAATATTGACTGCTTACAACCATATTCATATGGAATTCACAGGCTACCTCTACTAACTTCCTGACGAAGCTACGGCGAAACGCGTCGAAGAAAAGGAAAAATACAGATTATAATTTTATGGAATTTGCATTAATATGATGAATAATGTCTTTATTGACTTTCAAGTAATGAATTAATATAGAAACGATGAATTATTGCTATTATGCATATTAATCTGTATGATTTCCATAGAGGTGACATGCCGTCTATGTAGTGATGTTTTAAATTGAATATGAGATGTTTTATTTACCTTGTCAATCAGGTATTTTCTTTATTAAAAATGAATTTTATTGATGAATTTTTTGAATGAATATGAGATGTTTTATTTACCTTGTCAATCAGGTATTTTCTTTATTAAAAATGAATTTTATTATATTGATGAATTTTTTGACATTATGTTGAACCATACTCCCTGGCATTAGTTAGTAGACACTTTCAAAGCCCCATCTTTTCTTTTCTCTTTTTTGGCTTACGACTGTAATTAGGGGTGTGGTGTCTCCAATTTAGTGCTGATCCCTAACTATTTCCTTTCACACAATAGTGTAGAATGGAAGGCATAAGCACCAATCATTGCATTGGCAAGGGACAGGAGATTGTCAGCTGAATCCTGTGACAGGAGTTCCATCCTTTAGATTCGGCGCAAGTAATTGCCGCATCTAAGGTAAGAACCATCTAATGTTTATACAGGATTATATAGCGCCAACAGTTTGTGCAGCGCTTTACAATATAAGGAAGACATTGCAATTACAATACATTTCAAGACAAGATGGTAAGCAGTCTATAAATCTATCTATCCTGTCTATTTATCTTTCTTGCCTCACCTCATGTCAACATATTATGGGTCAACTCTGCCCCCAAGAACCCACTAGACCACCTTCCCAATATCAAAAAAAGTGAGCTCCCCCTTTAGCGTTCTTCTTTGGTCCTGGCTCCGGGCCACCTTTAGATGATGAATTAGGAAGTAAGTAGAATCTTCTCTACCCACCTTCCAGCCAGGCTGAGCCCCTTCTGGGGTTGGAAGACCCCTCTGTTGTTGGTAAATCCAGCTCAGGTGGAGTGCCTTATGGTGCCAGGGTTGTGTTTGTAGCATAACAAGCTTATTTATTGAGATTCCCAGCACTTTGCACATCACTCTTTTCCTTGTTAAATAAGTCAGTATATTTTATTTACAGCTCAGTTACACTTCATCATAAAACTGCCGGCCTCTCAGTGGAGGCAAAGTAAGTCCTCTCATCTCCATTCATGGTCCACCGTCACACTTCATCCTGTGAATTTCCATCTCCTCTTTATCCACCTTGAAGTGCGTGAAGATCATATTTCTTTCTCCCGGAAATAAGAACCTAATGACAAAAGTGTCAGCATGAAACAAAGCAGAGCATTGGGAAGGGAGGCGACTTGCATGCATCAGTGCCAATTCAGAGCAAATCTAATTTTATCAACAGATCTGTAATGTTTCTTTGAAGTTATGACCCCTTCACCATCTCATGGTCTGAAATTCCGAACACCTATCTGCAGCATTTTTACCCCGTAACTTTCACACCTTCTAGAGCTGGTCAACTAGAGGACATTTTTAGGTGTTGCAGTTTGGCCTGTGACCACTAAAGAGAAGAATTCAGAAAAAAAATGTGTGCAACAGTACACTGAGGGCTAGTTCACACCAGGCCCAGTGCGTTCCGGCCCAATTCTGGCTGGAACGTACTGGATCGCATCCTGGCCGGATCACTTTGTTTTGGGGCGATAGGGGAGGGTGGGGGGGTGGTAGTGCATTGAAGTCATTGGCACCGCAGCCACGCCCTCTGGCCACAGTGCGATCGCTCGCACTGGAACGCGTAGCACATCAATGCCTGCGTTCCGGTCAGAAAATATAGCGCAGGCAGCATTTGTTCTGACTGCACCGGACCAGAAGGCAGGCATTAAGGTGCCACGCGTTGCGGGCGATCGCACTGCAGCCGGAGGGCTGCGGTGCCATTCATTTCAACGACCCCTCCCGCCCCAAAACAAAGTAAGCCAGCCGGGTTGCGATCCAGTGTATCAGGCCGGAACTCACTGGGGCTGCTGTGAACTAGACCTGAAAGTACACTGTGAGGGATCAGCTACACATGCAAATGTTAGTTGTTTAGGAGCATAAGAGTAATCTACTGACTACTGATGTGCAATCTGATTTCCAATCTACTGCAAAGACGAGAAGTCAACATATTCCAAAGGAGGCAATTGCCATTCTATTGTGGTCCTACTTATCTCTTGTAAAGTCCCTCCTGTGATGGACTACAATCTCATGTTTAGTTTACTGATTTGTATTGAGATTGTAGTCCGGGAGGGAGCTTGGAGCAGTGACTACTTTACAACACACACAGGGACCATGGGCAACAAAAGTAGCCATGAATGGGCACCCAGACAGCATAAAACCTGACAAAGGTTCTCATCGCTCTACTGTAAAGTGACACTAAACTCAGGAGCTGAATCTTAAAAATACATTCAGGTACCTTAACTATTAACAACAATGTATCTTATTTTTGTATCACTCGGCTGTAGATCCTCAATCATAGACTACAATCTAATTACAAATTAGTAAATTAAACATGAGATTGTAGTCCATCACAGGAGCGAGCTTGGAGCGGTGGCTACTTTACAACACACAGAGGGACCATGGGGAACAAAAGTAGCCCCCCTCCAGAAGGAAGGACAGTGTCAGCACCAATTCAGAGATGATTTGAGGATCTACAGCTGAGTAATACACACATAAGATACATTGTTGTTTACAGTTGCGGTACTCGTGGTACTCTGCTCTGTAGGTGCTATGAACTTGGGAACATATCAAATCCTAAAATGACCTGCAAAAAATATTTTATATTATAACATTATATTTTATTATAATATGTAGTGGGTGCTGCCTTCCGTCTGCCCATCACTTCCAACAACTTCCTGGTTCCCCAGTGTGCTTTGCATCTCTTTCCCTGCTGCTTGATGCGATGCAATCTCCATGACTACATAGCCCATCATGCATTGCTTCCAGCAAGCAATGATAATGTTACATTGTTTAGATGTTGAGATGTAGTTCAGAAGGCAGCCTCTGTGAGAGGTGACACCAGGAAGTGCATATTCACAGGGCTGAGTGTGATGGTGTCAGTGTATTAAGGAAGTACATCCTATGGGCACCTTCTAGATGGATCTGGTTATTAGGAGCGGGATAGAACTTATGGACATCCAATACAGAAATACAGATTTATTTTGAGTTTTTGACCATAAATACTTGATGTCCATGAATGATGTCACTATGTCCCTGCGTGGCCCCCTGAAACGTTGGCTGTATGACGCATGTGACAATTTAATAAAAAGTGCTTTACTTCTTGCACATATCATCGAGTGCTGGTGACTTCTCTTATGACATGAATGAAATACTGCACAGCAAAGCTCTCAGTCAGTTACCTAGTTTCTCAGTGGCCTCCACACACACGCTGGGATACATTCCTTCCCGGTACACAGCGAGCAGGATGTTGGATTTGGTTTTTACCATGACAAGGCCGTCATCGTCCTGATTGGAGAAAGATCAGATCACGGCAGTTATAACACTGGCGGCACTCGGGGGGAACTATACCCCGAAAAGAGTACTTCACACTGAAGAATACAAAACGTACACATTTAGCGTAGACAGAATTCTTATCAGCTCGGACACACTTGTAATTCCTCTCCCGGAAGTTGAACCCGTCTCTTCTTAGGGCTGGTGTGTTCTTGAAGGCGTCAATGATCACCTGGATGTGCTGAGGCTGCAACTACAAATGATGAGAAGGTCTCATAGAGCGCAATACTAAATAAACATGTCAAGTATTACATTGTATGTAAAGAGGAGATAATGATAATAAAGCAGTACAGATATTTCGACATCTTTTTCCCATAATGGGACACGCTCACATACTTCTGTGTCACCATGGGTGGCCAATCAGTTCTCAGAAGAAGTCTCATGCTGCCTTATCTGGATGCGTACCTCCTTTTTTTTTTTTTAGTAATCTTTATTTTACATTTTTCCAGTTTACACGAGAAAGGAACATAAAAACTTAGATTGATGGAACCAAACAAACAGAAACGACTGGGTCCGGAAAAGGAATACAGCGAAATGCCACATGGCCAAACCAGTGTGTAATCCCTGAAAGAGTTCTGGCTGTCAATGATCAATGACAAAATAAGTGTAGCTTCCGGGGTGGGAAAGGGACAGGAGAAGGAAGGCAGGAGGGAAAGGGAAGGCGGGGGTAAGAATCGGGGGGAGAAGACAAGTCTAGGTCCTTTTAAAGGAAAACTCCACTTTCAATACAAGTTATTGTGTCATATAAAATCCCCACAGAAGCCACTTTGTCATTTATTTTTTATTTAACATTATCTTTCTATTTCAATTTGAAGCCGCTGTCTTTTACTGTTCAAAAAATTCAGTGCAACCCGGAGGTGTTCTGTACACCACTGGAGTAAGGAACACCGCAGAAATGTAGTTTCCTGTTTGTGTGATTGTTTCAGATTTCTCCAGAAGTTTGCACTAAGATACAAGTCCAATTTTAGGGATCCCGTGCAATAGAAATTTCATTTTGGGTGAGAGTCTCCCTAAGGGCTAACTACTTCTAAAGGGATGCCAACACTGCAACTTTCCGACAGATGAATATAATGTACCCGTCACCCGTCCCCCCCATTCAGGAATCAGACCCCCCCATTCAGGAGTCAGCCTGGAAAGGACATGGTGAAACAAGCAGCTTTTCCTTTTAAACAGAAAAAGGTAAAAATCTGTAAAAAAAGAAAGAGATAACTACTTCTAAGGGATGCCAACACTGCAACATTCCCCAATAGAAGACAGAACGTCCACCAGATTATTATTGTGAACACAACCCTCCCATTCAGGAATCAGACCCCCCCCCCATTCAGGAATCAGACCCTCCCATTCAGGAGTCAGTCTGGAAAGGACCCCCCAAAAATTCAGGAATCAGTCAGTAAAGGACATAGTGAAACAAACAACTTTTTTCTTTTGAACAGAAAAAGGTAAACATCTGTAACAAAGGGTTAACTACTTCTAAGGGGATGTTAACACTGCAACTTTCCTCACTAGAAGACAGATCGTCCACCAGATGATTATAATTAACCCAACCCTCCCATTCAGGA